TAAGCTCGCAAAAGCTAATGGAAAGTGGCCTAATTTTGAGAATCTACTGTATTTAATATCATGTTTAATTAGTGCTTATGGATTGGAAGATTAGTGTGTTACTAATATAATCTCCTCCTGAGAGGAGCTAGTGACAGCTGATGCATGATTCTTAATTAAATCCTGACAGGGACAATCCAAAACAAAACAAAAAAGGACAAAAACAATGAAGAAGAAAGAAAGAAACAGAGTGGAATCAGAATCCGATCCCTTTCTAACAGCACTCTTCCTTTTTTGAAAAACTTGTAAAAGTTTCCAGCTTTCCTCTTTTCAACAAGTTGTCCCTTTAGTAATTTCTTCTGTCGTTGCATGTTTGAAACACGTTATTCTGCAATTAACAAAGATAAAAAAATCATAGATTTTGCATTATAAAGAGCTCGTTAATGTCACTATCTTCTCTGCACAGATCACCTTTAGTACTTGGCAAGGTGACATCGATGGCAAGGAACTCATCAGAGAGTAGTAGCAAGAAGAAGCAAGAAAACAGAGTGTGCGAGAAGATCTTCAGAGCAGTGACTAGTCCTGTCCGAACCGTTCGCCGCATCTCCACCAAACCTTCACCAGCAGAGGCTGTTCGCGTCAAATTTGCAGAGACACCGACTCAGGCAGCCAAACCCATTACAAAGATGAAACCGGTGATCGCTCGAGTGGAGACTAGTATCAAAACGGACGAGAGGTTCACCGACTATATAAAGAAAGCGAAGCTGAAGATAAGGGCGATGACGAATGTCGGTGATATGATGAAGGAGGATGCGTGGGAGACAAGTGAGACAGATCAGACACGTCATGATCATCATCATCACCATGTCCCGATCTCTCACGTAGGAAGTAGTGGGAGATCATCAGATCAGTTCTCTGAGTACATAAAGAAGGCAAAGATGAAGCTCAGATCCTCTTCCACCATTGCTCGTGCAAACCCGACTTTCAAGTGATGAATTTCGACAAAAGATTTGAATAATCCTGCAGGCCTAAGATTTATATTATGATATATGTATATGTTTTGTGGTCCGTGTGAGTGATACTTTGATTGATATTTTGACAATAACGGACATGGATTTGTTGTATTAATGAAAACTACGTATATACGTAATTTTATGATCATTTTACTATATTTTGTTGTTACATTGTAGAGCGAGTGGTTTATTCTTTTCTTAAAAATGTACAAAATATCATCATATATGGGCTGCGAATGGGCCGTCAAAGAAGAGTCTCATCATATATATAGAGATGATAGTTAATGAATGACTAAGAAAAATAATGAGAAAGTTTGGAATATAATGAAATGACATGCACCGATGCACGATCGTTAAATCCCGTTATTAAATAGTACAACCATCGGCTCTGAATGGGCTGTTAAGAAGGTTTTTGCCGTACGTAACATGACGTCGTGACCTGTACTGAATATTCATTCATTTTGAAACGATAACTCTTTTTTATTTGTTGAGTGCCAAAAAGGGCAGATTCTGTTGAGATTTCGTTTTCTTATTTTACTATAATCATTGCCTTAACACGTATATTTTTATGTTTCTACTACTGATGTTAAAATTTTGCAATGGATAACTTAATTATTCGTTCTTTCGCTTCGTTTTCACTTTTCACAATATATCATAAATGAAATGTGTTTGTGTAATAATAAAATATATATATATATATATACAAAAATATACACGTGTTTTAATCTCATAATTTTGTATATATACTTGAAAATTCTAAAAGATTAAATATCTAATTAAGAACATTGATGTATCTTGTATCCGATATCGTTAAATTCGAAAACCTATATAAGCCAAATGTTCAAAATGAAAATTTACATTGTTAGCAAAAAAATACTAATATATGTTGTTTCCACTATGATAAAGCGGAGAAGTCCCTTTTCGACGATCAAGAGTCAAGTTTGACTCCAGATGCATCATATGCACTGCTCTTATAGACAAAATTAGTCGTATATTTAAATAATAACAAAATCAATACGACGAATCTCATGATCGGCCCTTCTGCAATTTATATTCAAATTAAAAAAAACTACATTCATATGTCAACTAAAGCTGACGTTAAAACTGGTTTGAAAACAAAACAAAAACTCGAGGACGCCTAGTGTTTAGACTATTTTATGATTTAGCAAACGCAAACAAATCAATGTTTTGTTTCCTACATTGTATTTATGAGCAATCGGTTGGGTTATCCACTTATTTGTAAAAGAAAAGAGAGAGAACAAAAAAACTAATAGAAAAAAAACAATAAATCGGAATAATTTGATTCGATATATATCAAGTAGTCGACAGTGTGTAAGCGAGGACACTGGACGGTGGCACGATAGATGAGTCATGAAGGCTTCACATTACTCACAATGGTTGGTCATTTTATAATTATTTTATGAGTTGTATAAAACGTTTACATCCTCATATATAATTGAACTAATATCGTCTATATATATGTAATTTAATTTGTCTGTTCACTCGCTATCTATCGTCAATGCCCTTGCAAAAGGCAAGCACAAAAATTACGAACAAATCAATGGCCTCTCGGTGGCAGAGAGACCAATGAAAATCTCAATATTTTGATTAGGGGTGAATTCATTGTGCATTTGTGGTATACATATATTCAGGAAAGAATAGTTTAAACGCGTACACACGTGGAAAACGTATAGGGAAGTCAGACTTTTGGATGATTAGAATAAGTTATACTAGAAAAGATGCACAAGTCTTGAATCTTTTATTGAATGATAAACGTAGGAGGTTATACTAGCAGGTAACCCTAAAAGATAATATAAAGATCAGAAGGCCAGTAGTTAATGGACGATATGCCCAGAGTAGAGTTGTTGGCAGATGATGAATATCACCAAACCATCTGTTACTTTAGAATGGATGCACAAGGACAAGGTAAGACAATAATGTAATGTGTGCTTAGTTAAAACGGCGTCGTAAAAAAGAAGAAGAGATTTTTGTCTTTTCCCGCAAGCGAGAGGACTCTTCCTTCTCCTGGGGGCACTGTGGGGAGAACAAAGCGGTTGTTATGGCCACAACAGACTCGATCGAATGACTTGTTCCTCCGTGGGCCCTCCAACTTAATTTATCACTAGATCCTGACCCGCACGTACGTGCGGGATTTCATATTTTAAAAAATGTTTTCTAATAAAATTTAATTCAATATAGATAAGACAATGAGAGAAAGTAGTGTCGTCCCGTCCCGTCTCGTTGCCTATCTTAAATTTTTTTGTCACGTAACTGTTTCCTTTAAAATAATTACCAATATGAGAATGTTTAATTTAGTTCAACTGAGAAGAGAATGGGTAAGAGATTTAGATGGAATACCTGTATTTTCCTTACTTTTCTTTTCGGGATTTAATTTTTACAAATAAATAGAATCTATCCAATTTTTTTTTGTTAAACATTCTCTAATTGTTTAAAACGCTAGTGCGGGTTATATTTGACAAACTCACGAAAGAAATTTTCTAATTCATACTTATATAACACCACATAAAACCTTATTCATCCGCGGTCTATAAAAAATGTTGTGTTTTCTCTAGTTGAAAAAAGCTACATGCATGGTTGTAAAGCTTCATGGGCTGTCAAAAAAAAAAAAAAAAGGTTCATGGTTGTAAAGACTCAAACATAGAAAATAATAAAAACATCAAATACTAATCCAACTATTATTCTATTTGGTTTAATTATCTCTTTTCAAACTGTAGTAACATGATTTTTCTGTTTGGATTATCTATTAATAAGTTCAAACTTAGACATATGAACTATTTTTTATCACTTTTTAGTATTTCGTTTGCGTATATCAAACGTATAAAATATGAGCAGACTGTAGGAAAGAACAAAGTTCATTAGCAATTTAGCATCAAGTAGTGTAATAACTCAAGTAAAATATTTGGTTTCTTTTCTATATAACTCACCCATTACAAAAGTGGAATCAAGAGCTTATAAAAAATCTATTTGCTTATATTCTCCGCAGATATTGTTGGATCATATTCATAAACTGAGTGTGACTGTCTTTTGACCCAACTCAGTAGAAGCTAAGCCATGGCTCGACAAACTTATGTAGTTAATTTATAAGTTGTAGAAACATAACGGAAATGAGAGTACAATATTCTATTTGTAATTATCATCACACAATTAAAAGAAATGTATCCAAAAGTCAAATTTATAAACAGAGAACAAAATTTAATTAGTTATGACTTACATTTGGAATGGTGGGCTAATGAATCTTTGTGACTCTAATTTTATATATTTATAGGGAGAGATGAAGTTAATGAGAAAAATTAGGTTTACCTATTATGAATTTTAGAAAATGATTTAATATCTTAATTGATTATTTATTCTTATTTCAAATTTTAAGTCAAATCTCTTGTTTAAATATTCTTGTTTAAATATTTTGTATTTTTGAAATTAATGACAACATATTTATATTTCTTTTTTTTCTATCATCAATATATTGGTTTAAAGATATATTAAGAAATCAATTTTAGTATTAAAATCATATTAATAGAATATAGAATATGACTTTCGTTAAATTTCAAATCATTATTTAATTTTAAACAATGCTCTTAAAGAATTTTGAAAATAAAAAATCTAATAATATGTTTTTCCTAAATTAAAATTCAATTAATTCAAACTAATTAAATCAGTTTGAATTAATTATCTTGCCGATTAAGTTTGAACTTCCAAGATTTTCTCAAACTATTAATAACTTATTTTTTCCCTAAATCCTGATTTTTAGGCAATATATTAGATTTTCGGATTTTATATATTTTAAGGTCATATATATAGTTTTTGTTATTTATTTGTAGTAAGATTTGGAAAAATCGACATTTGAAAAGATTGAAAACTTTTATTGATATCTATTAGGTAATTTTATGGTATGATTTGCATAGTTTATTTGGTATGAATTCTAATAATATAGGATTTATATATAAATTATTATTGGATTCATATAAAAACAATTTTTGATTTTTTAACCATATTATGATGATTATTAATTTCTATAAATGGTTGTTTCTTTAATAATAATAAATTAATGATTGGATATGAGTTTATTAATATATCCGAAATTTATGATTGCAATATTTGCAAAATCTTGGAATTAATATAATTGTTATTAATATCACTAATATGGTTGCTATTTTTTTTCTCCTTCTTTTAATTTAAAAATCCCAATGGCATTATATGTAATATTTTACCTTTTATAAGGTTATTTAATTTTGAGTGATTCCCAATTAATAGTATAGACTAGATCATCACCCGTACTGTAGTACGGGTTGAATTTAATTTATTACAAAATTTATATATTATATAGTTATAGAATAAAATAGTGTTATATTATAATAGTAAGTAAAAAAATATCTGAACGGTTGCGTCTTTCTATCGCAACTTTTCGATAATGTTTTTATAAATTAAAATATATATTTTACGGTTATGTTTTTTTTTTATAAATTGCATTCTGAATATTTTCTACGGTTGCGTTTTTAATTGTAACTCTTCATAAACAGTTGAAACCGCTTATTCAAATCATTGCAATATTTAGTTTATTTTACGAACAATTGCAACCTTTGGTATATATATTTAGTTTATTTCACGAACAATTGTAATTTTTGGTTTATTTTATAAATAGCTATAACATTTAATTATCTACTGCCGAGTCTCTTGGTGTAACTTTTCATAAATTATTATTTTAATTCTTAATTTTTAATTACTAAAATGTATTTAAATGAGATTGTAACTATTTAATTGAACTGTTTCAACATTTGGATTATTTGACGAATTATTGCAACTTTTGGTTTTGTGTTACGAACCATTGTTATCTTTAGTATATTTGATGAACTATTGCAACATTTGGTATAATTGACGAACCGTTGCAGTTTTTGGAATATATGATATCTACGGTTGCGTTACTCGGATAAGTTCGTCATATATTTAAAAAATATTTAAATACTAAAATATATTTAAATGAATTGTTGTTACCGTTTAATTTAACACAATAGCATTTGGTTTATTTGACGTTGAACGTTTTGGCTTATTTATCAAACCATTGTAATATTTGGTTAATTAATTTATGCTTTTTGCACTTGGGAATAATTTTTTAGTTACAAATTATTGTTTTCTAATATTAATATACTTAATAAATGCTTGTGAGAGTTTTCTTTATCATAATTTTTGTAAAATATTTATTGATTTGTTATTAAAAAATTAAAAATTATTACAATTCATTATGATTTTTTCGTTTGATATTTTTTTAAATGATTTTTGAAATATATTCCTCTGCGACATCGCGGGGGTCCTGAGTCCTAGTAGTTATAAGGATCATAACTCATTTCATCATATAATACATTATATTTAACCCGCCGTCTATTATAAGTATTTGTTTCAAAAAATCAAATTAGAGTATTTATATTTCTTAACTTTTTGATCTATTAAGTATTAAGTATTGATGATATTAAAAAAAGGAATATATTACTCAAAAATGAATTTTTGACCCGTTAAATTTGTTTTTTCATACATTGAACAATTTATATTCGTTTTTAAAAATTCAAATCTTTTTATATGCGGAAAAAAATTTACTTTTTTTTTATTATGTAGATGATATAATAATTTATTTATTTTATAGAAATAGAATAATATAAAGATGAGAGGTGAAGTATAATGATTAATAACAAATTAATATGATAAGTTAGATATCAAATCTTATATGTTCATTTTGATTGGTCATTCTTTTTAAAAAAATTAATAATAGATTTTCGTTTTTATAATTAAATTAAATTAATTAAATTGCATAAAATAGTATTTGACTTTTTTATCCTTAATGAGTTGAATTAATTTACTCTATAAAATTTTATTTCTAATGGCATTCTTAAGTAAATTCTTACAAAAGAGAAGGTTAGTTAAGGGTATCTTATAAAGTGTACTCCCCAAATAATAGTATAGGATCATTTGTATTATTATTTTTAGATTATGGTTTAGTCAATAATTACGATGGAGTCGAGTCGAGTTTGTCCCTCGCCCCTACCTTATATTTAAACACCATCCTATAGTTTTTTTTAGTATATAAGATTATTTTGTGGCTAAACCAAACCAACCCAAAAAATATATTTATTACAAAACATTTTCGTCAAATATACATATACCGAGAGAGAGAGAGAGAGTCCCTTAAAGGCTTAAACCCCCAAAACCTCCTCCTTGCTTCCATCGATCCCATTCTTTCGTTAACTGATGGCTGAAACGCCGGCTTCTCCTCCTCTTCACCCTCCCGTTCTTCTGTCCGATTCCGCCGCCAAAGACGCCATGCTCACTTGGTTTCGTGGCGAGTTTGCGGCCGCCAACGCCATCATCGATGCTCTCTGCGCTCACCTTATGCAGGGCTCCGGCGGATCCGCTCGATACGAGTCTGTCATGGCAGCCCTTCATCGCCGGAGGCTCAACTGGATCCCTGTCCTCCAGATGCAGAAGTACCATTCCATCTCTCAAGTCACCCTCCAGCTACAACAATTGGCAAAAGGCGGCTTTCATGATGATGATGATTCTCCCTCCAGCGACATCACTGATGGAGGATCCCGGGAAGAAGACCGCGTGGACGAAACCCTCTCAATCTGTTGTAAGCACGAGGACGAATGTGAATCACGAGGAGCCTCACTCCTCAAGCACTCCAAGCGTTTCTCGGCCAAGGAACATGTTAGAGGACATACGGCAAGTTCATCATCCTCTTTACCAAAGCAGACAATTGCTTTTAAAAACATCTGAGGTTTGATTGTTTAGTTACTACTACTGAAACAATTAATATATATATATATATATAAATAAAAGGCTTTGATTTTCCCAATGATTTTATCTCTATCCATAATATATCATTAGTGTTATCTCGTCCTGATGGATGGATGAACATTGAATTTGCTTCATTAATTGTTTCCATGACTAAGACTGCGTGGTTGTTCCTCGCAGGCCAATGTTGTCAAAGGCCTCAAACTCTACGAAGATGTCTTCACTGGTACTCAACTCTCCAAGCTTCTGGATTCTATTAATCAGCTCCGAGAGGCTGGCCGGAATCACCAACTTTCAGGTGACTTTATCCTTTAATTTAATTCAGTCTTTTTTCATTAACCTTACACACAAGTTTCAAATGCAGGGGAGACCTTTGTTCTGTTCAACAAGAACACCAAGGGAACCAAAAGAGAGCTTCTTCAGCTTGGAGTTCCTATTTTCGGCAACACCACGGATGAACACTCAGGTAATGACAACAAGGCACTTGGTGCATCCGCTATTTATATACATACATACCATCTCCTAATAACCCGTCCCGTCCCGTCCTTGCAGTGGAACCTATCCCAACCCTTGTCCAAAGTGTGATCGACCATCTTCTTCAATGGCGTGTGATTCCTGAATACAAACGACCAAATGGCTGTGTGATCAACTTCTTCGATGAGGTACTTACTTACACCTTCCATTTCCAGATCAACATCTCTCGATCCTTCCAGCTAAGGTTTGGGCTTGTTTGCAGGACGAACACTCTCAACCATTTCAGAAACCTCCTCACGTGGATCAACCCATATCCACTCTTGTCTTGTCTGAATCAACCATGGTGTTTGGGCACAGACTCGGGGTCGATAACGATGGCAACTTCAGGGGCTCACTCACTCTCCCACTAAAGGAAGGGTAATGGTAACACTCCCCCAATAATTGCCATGTTGATTGTATCCGAGTTTTGTTTCTAATCAGAAGAAGCCTAAAATGAATGTCGCAGGTCGTTGCTGGTGATGAGGGGTAACAGCGCAGATATGGCCAGGCATGTAATGTGCCCCTCGCCCAACAAAAGAGTCGCAATCACCTTCTTCAAACTCAAACCGGACTCCGGGAAGGTCCAGCCGCCCCCCACCCTATGGCGACCAGGCACCCCAGCTCCTCCGGCTTGCGGAATGGTCACAGCTCCGTTGGTGATGCTAGCTCCGGCTACCAAGAGGCTAGACGCTGGCACTGGAGTTTTCTTGCCGTGGACACCGCCAGTTACAAGAAAACCAGCAAAGCATCTCCCGCCACGAGTCCAGAGGCTGCGTCTCTTGTCATCAGCAAAGCCAGTGGCAGATCGTGAGGCATCGTCGCCAGAGATAGGAGTGAGCTGAGTTGGAAAGTGTCACACACGGAAGCTCTTTCTTTTTTCCTTTTGTTTAACAGAGCCTTTTGGTTTCCTTGTGTGTATGCTTGAGTCGTTTAGTGGGTTTTTCTTGTTTCTTCTTAGTAACATTTTGCTTTCCTTATATATGGTCAATTTAATAGATTGAAGATTAGGGTATTATGATGCTACATCTACTTTGAACTATTTGTATTAAAAGATCTTCAATTTAATTTAATTTCAAAGATCTTCAGCTTCAATCAAGAAAAGAGGAAACTTGATCGAATTTGCCTAATAATACACAAATATTCCTGCAACTGCTTTTCTGTTAAAGCAAAAGAGGATGGAGAAGGAAGCAGAGAGATTCTGGTTTCTCTTTTCCTTTTTTCTTTTATTAGATATTACGACATTAACACATAGCTTCCACTGGCTCAATTTCCCCATCTCACAAGAGTAGAATCAAAGCAAACCCGATATCCTACTACTCATTTGTTCATATACACCAAACCCACTCCTCAAGCACAAGAATCCTGGAGAGAAAAGAAAAATACTTTTCTGTTTCTGCAGTCTTCTTTTTGACAGAGAATGCACAGAAGAGAGGATGATGACAGCAGCAGCTCCCTGCGGCCTCGGGGCATTTGCCGTCGGCTGCTTCGATTTGTTGTGGCTAAACTATGGATATTAGGAGAGAAAGAGATGAATGAAGATAAGCCTGAGAGGAACAAACTGATCAAGAAGGGATCAATGTCTGACATCACTATTCATTTCAAGCAATTAGAAGACTCTGAGGATAACGACAAATGCAAGAACAATTCCCCTGGCTCGTCAAGCCAAGAATCAGAGAGAGAGACAATGATCACACTAGCTAATGGTAGTAACGGCCCAAAGAAGAGGTTGCAGGAGAAGGTGGAAAAGAGCATGCTGGGTGAGCCGAGCCCTAAGCAACAAGTCACTCAGCCTGAAGCAGGGAAACCACCACCGCCTCATAGACGTCTGGGCCCCCTACTAAATGATATAAATAAGAAATCAGATGCTTTTATCGAGAGTACACTCGAGAAGATGAGGAAAAGCTTAGCCTAGAACTAAACACATGAGCCTCCTTCTCTGGCTTTCTCTGTCGAGCTAAACTCAATTCTTTTATTTTCTTTAAATTTACCAGCTGCATTCTTGATAAGAAAACATATATGTACTCGCACTTCTATTTTAAACAAAAATTCATCTCAGAACTATATGATTTACAAGAAAGATTCCTTAAGGGGCTAGCTCATATATCATTCTAGAGCAATGTTCACATTCGTTTGCCTTAAACCCACGTACCTAACACGATAGGCTTCATTCCATAGAGAAGCCGAATGAAGAATCGTTCTAAGGAAGAGAAGACAAAGAATCTTCATGCTTGCTCTAAGCCCATCATGATTCAAGAGTAGTCCCTACTCTGTGCTTTCCAGCCATCCAAGCTGAAGAAAGAGGCAAAAAGTGAAATAAAACTAATGTGAGCAAGCACAAAAAAGCGCCCTCAAAAATTAGCATTCGAATTGTGAAAGGAGCCATACCTTCCAGGCATACATTGCAAAGAAGGTAACAGTGTCAGCAGACCAGACAAGAGCAAATGACTTCCAAAAGAAGGGAATAGCAACATTGAGCAACGGGATGATCAGAAATAGGTAGTTAAGAGCCTCTTTCTCTTTAATTGGACAGTCTCGTGCCCGAAGAGAAGGAATAGCTGCGAAGAAAGTAGAGGATAAGGGGCGGCTTGGAATAAAGTTGAAAGTAGAGAAGGCAACTTACTGAACATCCAAATGGACCACATCCCCATCAACCTCCATAAATCAGGTTCATTGGAGGGAAAGAGGAGGTTGAAAGAAAGGACACCTCCGAGGAACATTGAGGCATAGCCTTGAACCTCAAAAACTTTGTAAAGAGTAGTTCCAGGGAGAGCTGGGTTTTTACTGGCGGTGGAAGCTCTAGGGGCAAAGGTTGCTGCAGTCTTGTTAACTACCTGCTTGAATTGAAAAGTCATAAACTTTTGCAACTCTTACAACAGCTTTCAAGCCAATCTAACATTGTTAAGAAATTGAGATTAAAAAAAATCTCTGCATGCATACACTCCTTTCATGTCTTCCTCAACTGAAAACTCGTAAATAATGAGAAAAAGGCGGACCTTTTTCAAGTCTTTACCGAGAGCAGAGGAAGGGAGAGGAGATTCCGGCGGTTTCATATCGAGAAGAGGTTCGTCTTTGGGGTCTGATCCGTCAGAAGTGGCGCAAATCCGGAAAGTAGATCTTCTATGGCGAAACCCATAAGTGAGAGCTATGGAAGAGGAGACCCCATGGGAATGGGTGCTGCAGAGAGACCAACTCATTCTTGATTCTCCTCCAACAATATAGATAAGGAAGAAGAGAGAAGCAACACTCTTGTTCTTGTTGTTGGCTTTATCGAACCGGTCCAATTCTCTAACCGAACTCTGGTATTCGAATTAAAAGCCATCAATCAATACAATAATTGATTCTCGAGCTGTCGTCGTGTCGATTGAACCGAGCCCACGACGGTTTGATTGGTTTAGCTATTTCTCGGCGCTAAATATATTTTATTAAAATTGTTGCCAAAAGATCTTTCCTTGTTCTTCTGAAGATTTAGATTTCCAGTTTCCAATTCTCAATTTGCAATCCACCTTCAACAAATTCACGCCTTATTTATTTGTATTCATCTTCAACAGCTACGAAAGATTTCAACTTGTTAGAAGATTTCGTGAGAATTGGAATTTTTTTTAATTTCTTCTCCGGCGGGCTGATTTCGTTGGAAGAATTTGAGGTCGGAGATCTATTGGATTCGATGAGAATTGGGATATGGTGATTGTTAAGACTAAAGGTTCCCATGGCGAGTTTTCTGGTGGGCTTCTTGTTGCCTTCGCTACTTCTGGCAGGTTGGTGCCTTCTCTCAATCTTCTTACTTGCAAGGTTGCAGAAATAAAAACCCTTACTTTGCCCCGATATTCTTCAAGGTGCCAAGGACCTTTTTTACATTCCTATTAAGTTTTACTCATTTGATTGACCCTTGTGTTTTTATGTCAACACATTGCTACTGATCATATATGTTTGTTATTGCTATCTCCACCACACCGTACCTTCTAAATCCTTATGAGCTTCTATTTTCCTTATGTATTTTCTCTTCTGTCACAGCTGCACTTATTAACTGGAGTGTCATATCCTTTGTTGATTTGATTGCTTTCCTCCTCGTTCACTATATTGCACCTGAAATTGGTATGACCATTTTCCCTCTAATCAGGTCTCTTATCTGATTAACAGCTCCAACCCCAATGTTTCTATTCTACTAGATATATCTTGTAATCTTTGATTTTGGGTTAGGTGTTTCCTCTGTAGAATGATAGGATTCAGGTATTTTATGCCCAACATCTACATTAGCCTGGAGGAATAAAGTTTATTATTCCCAGTTTTCATCGCTTTTATCAGATAAGCTCATGTACACTTTCTCAAACTTACTTTGGATCTTGCTTTATTTTGCCAGGATACCGTTTTCAGAGGAGGCATTGGCTATTATGGCCCATTTTCATCTTTTCCTTTGCAGTATTTCTTGCTCAAGTGGTCTACCTTGTCATTTGGGCTGCTCTAGGTCAAGACTGGGATACAGCAGATACTGGCTGGATGAGAGTTTTTGGCTTTATGATGTAAGAGTTTGTCTCATCATTTCATTCATCTTACCGCCTTATAAATATTTACTTCTTAGTTGATACCCTCGTGTTTGCTTCTGCAGATTAAAGTCTTGGAGAAACCCCACTGTTATGTATTTCTTGGCTTTACAACTACTAACATCATTAGTTGCTTTAGCTGACATATACAGTAGTAGATTCGGCTTCGCTCGATGGTGGGACACATGGTGGTCTCACTTTTCAGGAATTTTCGAACACCTAGGTTTGTAATTAATGTAGTAGGCCCATACGGCTTGTCCAAATACTTACTGTAATATTTTCTCATCATGTGTTCATCTGGTTTAGTAATGTCAACTTGGTTTGACATTATCTCCTCGTTTATGACTCAGGAAGTCATCTTAGGGTTGCCTCCTGCTTGTTGTTACCAGCAGTTCAATTGGCAGTGGGAATCTGCAATCCATCATGGGTTTCTTTGCCATTTTTTATTGGAAGCTGTGCCGGTCTTGTGGACTGGTCCTTGACAAGCAACGTTTCAGGACTTTTCAGGTGGATAGATTATTGATTATTACGCCAAGTTAGCGCTTCCCAACCCTGCTTCTCTGAAATCTAGTCGTTTTTTGTCTGGTTAAGGTGGTGGAGAGTTCTTTATATCTACGCAGGATTCAACATTGTCCTGCTTTACCTCTATCAACTACCAATAAACTTTTCAGATATGATTCGATGGATAGCAAGCTTTATAGGTCTTTTCAGAATCTCCATGGAAACTGAAGGCCCTGATATCTGTTCTGGTGCTTTCCTTGTGTTGTTCTACATCATGGTATTTCTTTTGTTTTTCGAGGATTAGTATTACACTTATATTACTGAACCATATAATTGATGAACTGTTTCTCAAAACAACTGTCAATATGTGGTAACCGTGTTTGGGGGGGGGGGGGGGGGGGGGTGTTGGTTATGAACACCAACAGCCAGTGTAGTTTTTCCTTCAAGTGAACTGACGTATCCGCCTTAATCTGTTAACAAGCTACAACTTTGTTATATCGATATACCTGTAATAGTCTTGACATGCCTGTCTTTCTGCTATGGCAGCTATCCTATGTAAGGTCAGACCTCGAGGATATGGACTTTATCATGTCCACGAGTGAAAATAACTTGGCAGAGCGGCTTCTTCCTCCAAAATATTCATTTTTTATTCGAGAATCAAGGTATTCTATATAGATTTTTGTTTAGTTTCTTCCTACTGGGAGCTGTTGTGGTTTTAACATAGTAATTCAGTGTTTTAAGGGAAATTTTAATTTTTCTGTTTAAATTTTTCTAACTTACATTAATTAGTTTATGGTTGAATATGCTCAAAGAATTGTGTTATGAAAAATCCAAAACGTTGAAAGTCATTGGTTTCCTGTATTCAAGGGGTCGTCACTACAAAACGTGGAAGCTTAAACACTGAGCAGTTTTATGAACTTAAAGTTGTGATTGGTTTCTCTGCTAACATAAACTATGGGGTTGGGTAAAGAGTAGTACTCTCTTACAGAGTACAACTAGTTCACACATTCTAATGGATGTTCTCTTGGCTGGGCTATACAGGATTAGTCATTTTAGATGTATAATAGATTAATAGTTACACTCAACTTAATGTTTTAATTTCTTGCAAATTTCCAGGGCCGGTGTCAGGCACACCAATGTTTTACTGAGGGGAGCTGTGTTTAAGACTTTCAGTATTAATTTCTTCACTTATGGTTTTCCGGTATATATTTGTATCCCTGGTATTTAAGTGTATGTGGCAGCTAAAGCAACGTAATGTGTCAGAAACTCACACTCTTTTTATTTGCGTTCATGATTGCCAGGTCTCTCTATTTGCTCTTTCGTTCTGGAGTTTTCACTTTGCGAGCTTGTGTGCTCTTGGCCTCCTTGCATATGTTGGTTACATTATTTATGCCTTCCCGTCATTGTTCCAGTTGCACAGATTAAATGGCCTTCTTCTCGTATTTATACTCTTATGGGCTGTCAGTACGTACATATTCAATGTGGCATTTTCTTTTCTGAACACTAAGGTTGGAAAGGTAATATCTTCTCTATGTGCAAAATTTTCAACTACTTTAAGAAAACTAAGATGTAAATTAACAACTAGTGTCGTAAATATACAGGACATGCAAATTTGGGAGATGGTGGGACTTTGGCATTATACTATACCTGGATTCTTTTTGCTTGCACAGTTTGGTTTGGGGATGTTGGTCGCGTTGGGTAATCTTGTAAATAACTCTGTTTTTCTGTACCTGTCTGAAGAAAGCTCCAGATCTTCCAATGAGAGATCTTACGCTGAAGGTAATGGTCTCACATACGGTTCTGCAAAGCAAGTTATCTGACGTTTTCCAACTTCTAGGGTTGTCAGAACCGTAAAGTTGAGAAAATGGGTGTACTTGTTTATGGCGATCAACCTATCATCTTTTCTGCATCATGTGACCTGAAACCATCCAAGACAATTTAAGAGTTATCACGCTATCCAAAATACATTTTAAAGAAATTTTTGATATAGAATATCATGGAAAATATTTATGTACTGTGTGATTTTGAAGGAGAAAAGCTTAAGACTACTATTATTTTGGCAAGCTTAGTTTATTCCGGGCTTAGTTTTAGGTGACAATTTCAATCTTCTGCTATTTATTCAATTTGATAATTGTTCTTAACGGCTGAAATTACCATCAATCACAGCTGATGAAGAAACAAAGGTGTTGGTCGTCGCGACCATTGCTTGGGGATTGCGGAAATGCTCACGGGCTATTATGCTTGCACTGATTTTTCTCATTGCTATGAAACCTGGGTTTTTCCATGCCGTATATGGTATGTTTATTCCCCTCCCATTTGCTTTTATAACAAGGATTCATGTATCTGGATGTTTGCGAAAAAAATTGTTCATGATACTGTGTCTTAATGGACTTCTTTCAGTGATATTCTTCCTTATGTATCTGTTGAGCCACAACATCAACAGAAAGATACGCAAGTCCTTGATTCTACTATGTGAAGTTCATTTTGCACTTCTCTACATTCTTGAGATTGACCTGGTGTCGAACTCCTTAAAGCAGAAAGGCTCTGTGAGCAGAGAAGTTCTATTTCAGTTAGGTACGCCTCTCTTTCTGTATTTTTCAAGTTATAGGATAAATTCACATATTTCCTTTCAAAGTTAGCTGCTAGGTGATCTTGGATTTGTCGGAAAAAAGGATTAGGGAAGAGTTCTCACTGACAACTCTCTGTATGAATCTTTGCAGGTCTCCTTAGGTCTGAAAGCTCTTGGGACTTCTTGGAGATAGCCTTACTAGCTTGCTTCTGTGCTATCCATAATCATGGTTTTGAGGTGCTATTTTCCTTTTCAGCAATTGTACGCCATACACCAAGCCCTCCAATTGGATTTAGCATATTGAAAGCTGGTCTCAACAAATCAGTCCTCTTGTCTGTCTATTCGTCTCCATCTTCAAGTTATAGCCAGGATAATACTACTTACGGTACAACACTTCCTTCTTGTCTTTGAAGTGAACATTTGAATGAGTGACATACATGCGTCTTAGTTTTTTACTTCAACTCCAGATCCTTGCTTCCATTGTCAGCTATTTGTTCTGGCATTTTGCATGCATGCCAATTAGTTTCTTTTAATGCAGTTGCCACACCATTAATCAAACATATCAGTTTTATTTTTTGGTCCTCATATCCTTTGATTCTTACGAATCACTATTATTTTCTTTACAGAGAGACATATTGCTTCATTTCTGAGTGCAAT